TGATTTTAAGTGATACCATGGATAAGACTATTTATTTTAAATTTGGTAACTTAACAGTTTTATTTTTTATATAACAGCAGTTTTATTTAGATACAACTCACAACCATATAATTCACCCATTTAAAATATACCATTCGATGGTTTTTAATATATTCAGAGTTTTACAACCATAACCGCAATTGATTTAGAACAGTTTCATCCCCAAAAGAATCGTGTATACTTTAGCCATCACCTCCTAACTACCCTTCAGTCCCCTAAAAACATCCCCCCTCTCCATCCCTTCACCCACCTCCACTCTTTACCTCTTCCCCCAACCTCACTCCTCCTTTCCCACTCCCAAGCCTAACCATTAAACTGCTGTGTCTGGACATTTGCCTTTTTGGGACGTTTCATATAAACAGACCATAGCATATGCAATCTTTTGTGACTGTCTTCTTTTTTATCTTTATACCACCTGTGGGAGTGACTGGGTTCTTTAACTTAGCATAATGTTCAAGTCTCATTCATGGGTAGCGTGTATTGGTACTTTATTTCTTTTTTTGTTGTTGAATAATACTGCATTATATGGATATACCACATTTTATTTATCTCTTTATCAGTTGATTGGCATTTGAGTTGTTTCACATTATGCCTATCATAAATAATACTGCTATAAACATTTGCATACAAATTTTTTGTGTAGATGTATGTTTTCAACTTTCTTGGATATTTACCCAGGAGAAGAATTTCTGGGTCATACAGTACTCTGTGCTTAACACTTTGAGGAACCACCAGGCTATTTTGCAAAGTGGCTAAGCCATTGTACATTGCCATTAACACTGTATGAAGGTTCACATTTTTCCACAACCTCACAAACACTTGTTATTATCTGTCTTTTTTATTATAGTCATCCTAGTGGGTGTAAGATTACGGTATCTCACTGTGGTTCTCCTTTGCGTTTCCCTGAGAGCCAAAAATGTTGAACGTCTTTTCATATGCTTATTGACCACTTCCAAGTCTTCTTTGAATAAATGTCTACTCAGATTCTTTGTCCACATTTTAATTGCATTTTTTTGTCTTTTTATTATTGAGTTGTAAGAAGGGTATTTTTTTAAATAACAAAAAAATTACTGCTGTTTCTTTATTACGAGTTGCAAATTCTTCTTCCCAGTTTGTTGTTTCTTTATTTTTCCCTCATGAAGGATTTGTGTGAGTTTTTGTTTCTTTTTTGTTTTTGTTTTTTGTCTTTATTTTTTAGAGTGGTTTTAGGTTCACAGCAAAACTGAGAGGAAGGTACAGGATTTCCCATATACCGTCTGCCCGCACACATGCTTAGTCTCCCCATTACCAGCATTCCCCAAGAGAGTGGTACATTTGTTAAAATTTATCAATCTGTATTGACACATCATTATCACTCAAAGTCCACAGTTTACATTAGAGTTTATTCTTGGTGTTGTACATTCTATTGGTTTGTACAAATGTATTATAACATATATCCACCACTATACTGTTATACTGGTTATTTTCATTGCCTTAAAAATCTTCTGTGCTTTGTCTATTCCTCTCTTTCCCCCACCTCTAGCAAACACTGATCTCTTTAGTGATCTAACAACCACTGTCCTTATACTTTTGCCTTTCGAAATGTCATACAGTCGGAGTCATACAGTATAAAAGGTTTCCACATTGGTTTCTTTCACTTGGTGATATGCATCTAAGCCTCTTCCATGCTTTTTCATAGTTTGATAGCTCATTTACTTTTTCAATTTTTTGTTTTGGCCCACTTTTATAAAAACAGATACCAATTTTTTTTAGCATTGATTAATATTTTATTGCCTGGGTGTATTACAGGTTATTTATTCATTCACCTACTGAAGGACATCTTGGTTGCTTCCAAATTTTGGCATTTATGATGCTACAAATATTCATGTGCAGGCTTTGGTGTGAGCATAAGTTTTCAACTGCTTTTGGTAAATACCAAGGACTGCAATGGCTGGATTGTATGGTTAGAATATGTTTAGTTTTATAAGAAATCACCAAATCATCTTCCAAAATGGCTGCATCATTTTGAAATTCCACAAGCAATGAATAAAAGTTCTTTTTCATTTTAACTTTTAAGTTCAGGGGTACATATGCAGGTCTGTTATAAAGGTAAATTTGGATCATGGGGGTTTGTTGTGCAGATTATTTCATCATCCACATATTAAGCCTAGTATCCATTAATTGTTTTTCCTCATTCTCTTCCTCTTCCCACTCTCCACCATCTGATAGCCCAGTGTCTGTTGTTCCTTTTTATGTGTCCATGTGTTCTCATCATTTAGCTCCTACTTTTAAGTGAGAACATGCAGTATTTGGTTTTCTGTTTCTGCATTAGTTTGCTAAGAATAATTAATGGCTTCCAGCTCCATTCATGTTCCTACGAAGGACATTATCTTGTTCTTTTCTATGCTGCATAGTATTCCATGGTATACATGTACTACATTTTCCTTATCTAGTCCACCATTGATTGGCATTTAGCTTGATTTCACATCTTTGCTATAGTGAACAGTGCTGCCATAAACATACACCTGTATATGTCTTTGTGATAGAACGATGTATATTGATTTGAGTACCTACCCAGGAAGAGGATTTCTGGGTTGAATGATATTCCTGTCTTTAGGTCTTTGAGGAATTACTATACTATCATCCACAAAGGTTGAACTAATTTACACTCCCACCAACAGTGTATAAGCTTTCCTTTTTCTCTAGAACCTTGCTAGCGTCTGTTATTTTTTGACTTATTAATAGCCATTCTGAATGTTGTGAGATGGTATCTCATTGTGGTTTTGATTTGCATTTCTCTAATGATCAGTGATGTTGAGCTTTTTTTAAAATGCGTGTTGGCCACATGTATATCTTCTTTTGAGAAGTGTCTGTTTATGTCTTTTGCCCACTTTTTAATGGAGTTATTTGGTTTTTTCTTGTAAATTTGTTTAAGTTCTTATAGATGCTGAATAGTAGAACTTTGTCAGATGCATAGTTTGCAATAATTTTCTCTCAGTCTGTAGGTTACCTGTTCACTCTGTTGACAGTTTATTTTGGTGTGCAGAAGCTCTTTAGTTTAATTAGATCCCATTTGTCAATTTTTGCTTCTGTTGCAATTGCTTTTGGCATCTTTGTCATAAAATCTTTGCCTGTTTCTATGTCTTGAATGGTGTTGCCTAGATTGTCTTCCAGCACTTCTATAGTATTGGGCTTTACATTTAAGTCTTTAATCAGTCTTTGGTTGATTTTTGTGTATGATGTGAAGGAACGGGTCCAGTTTCAGTCTTCTGCATATGGCTAGTCATTTATCCCAGCACCATTTATTGAAAAGGGAGTCCTTTCCCCATTGCTTGTTTTTGTCAGCTTTGTCAAAGATCAGATGGTTGTAGATATGCAGCCTTATTTCTGGGCCCTCTATTCTGCTCCATTGGGCTAGGTGTGTGATTTTGTACCAGTACAATGCTGTTTTGCTTATGTAGCCCTGTAGTATAGTTTGAAGTTGGGTAGCATGATGCCTCCACATACTTACTGACATTTGGTGTTGTCTGTGATCTGGATTTTGGCCATTCTAATAAATACGTCTTGATATCTCATTTCTTTCTTAATTTTCATTACCCTCATAACATATGATATGAAACATCTTTTTATAGGCTTATTTGCCATCTATATCTTCTTTGAAAGGGTGTTTCCTAAGACATGTGGCCCATTTTTTAATTCTGTTGTGTTCGTATTGTTGAAGTTAAGAGGTTTTTGTATATATTATAACAGCTTTTTATCTGATATATCTTTGCAAATGTTTAATATCAGTCTGGCTTATCTATTTATTCTCCTCATCATAATTTTTGCATGGCCAAAATCTTTTTATTGGTCCCACTTATCAGTTTCTTCTTTCATGTATCATGCCTTTGGTATGGCATATAAAAAAATCATTGCCAAAACCAAGGTTATCTCTTGTTATCTTCCGGGAATTTTATAATATTGTACCTTATGTTTAGGTCTCTGATCAGTTTTGAGGGTTTTTTTGTGTGAAAGATGTAAGGTCTTTGTCTAGATTCATTTTTCAACATGTGCTTGTCCAGTTGTTCCAGAACCATTTGTTGAAATGACTGTTTTCTCCATTGTATTGCCTTTGCTCATATGTATCACAAGGCCTTTCCAACATTGTATTACCTTTCCTCAATGATCAATTGACTATATTTTTGTGGGTCTGTGTCTGGGCTGTCTATTCTGTCCCATTGATCGATTTGTCTGTTCTTTCACCACATTACTTAATCACTGTAGCTTTATAGTAAGTCTTTAAGTTGGGTGGCGCCAGTCATCTGATGTTCTTCTTCTCCTTAATATTGTGTTGAGTATTCTGGGACTTTGCCTTTCCATATAAAAAGTCACTTTACAATCACTTTGTCCCTATCCACAAAATAACTTGCTGAGATTTTGATTGAAATTGCGTTGAATTCATAGATCCAGTTGGGAGGAACTGACATCTTAAAAATACCGTCTTCCTATCTATGAACATGAAATATTCTGCTGTATTTCCTCTCTATACTTTTATGGCTTCATATTTGCATTTAAATGTTTATCACCTTTGAAGTATTCCCAAATGGATATGCAATTATTCCAGCATCATTTACTGAATTGTCCTATAATTTGGGGTATCTTCTTTATCATATTCTGAATTACCATACTAGTTAGACCTATTTCTGGATTTTCTATTTTGTTTCATGGGCAATGCTATTCATTCACCACAACTGCCTTGCTTTAGTTATTGAGGCTATAAATATAAAATATATTTGGTCTTTGTCCTGCCACATTATTTGTACTGTGTTCCTGTTGAATAATTTCATTTTTTAAATCCTTCCATTATACAGTTATTATAGACTGAATGCCTGTGCTCCTTCCCCACCCCCTACTAACATTTATATGTTGAAATCCGTATCCCAATGTGATAGTATTAGGAGGTGGGGACTTTACAAGATAATTAGGTCATGAGAGAGGAAACCTCATGAATGAAATTAGTATTCTTCTAAAAAAGACCCAGAGAGTTATCTTGCTCTTTCCACCACATGAGGATACAATGAGAAGTCTGCAGTCTGCACCCCTGAAGACAGCCCTCAGCAGAGGCTGATCATGCTGGCACTCTGATCTCAGACTTTAGGCTTTCAGATCTGTAAGACATAAATTACTGCTGTTTATAAACCACCCAGTCTGTAGTATTCTGTTATAGCAACCTGAACTAAGACACTATAGCTTTTATGTGTAGTCTAATATTTAGGAAATATTAGAATATTTGCGTTCTAATGGTTGCCTTTATAAGTGTAGTATTCTCTTAATTTTCTTAGCTATCTATTTTCCTTAGTTAGTTCTTCATTATAATGAAATAATTATATTTTCTCTTCCTTTCCCTATCATGTTTCTTCATTCTCCCACATAGCTCAGAGATGAGGACACCACTGATAATCAATAAACATTGATTTGCTGTTACTACTTTCTAAAAACAAAACACAACAAAATGCACACACAATGTCAATAAAAGATATTTCATTCTCTTTCCTCTTATGCCTGGATATCCCACACTGGTTTGTCTAGAATTGTCTCCCATTCCTGTTTGACAACATTCTCTCTGACCTAAAGACAGGAATTTTAATGCCTTGGAGATAAAGAAAGGTTGAGTCAAGGCAGGAATACATGACACACTCATATTTCCCTAATACGTCCTGATTTCTTTATTGCCCAGGCTCTGAATCTGGCCTAAAACCAGAGATTAGTGGGAGAAACCAGAACTGAATCACTACAGGGACAGCATTCATCAAATGCTGACATTCCAAAGTGCTGGGTCCACAGGACTGGGAACACAAGTCAGGAAATAGAAGCAAATTTTAGGGACATACCTGATGAGGTATGAATCACATGGCCTATGGCATCTGCCTAACCTGCATATAGCATGGCCATAGGTCTCAGGGAACAGGATGGCTTTATGCCTGATAAACCAAGGAATTTCCGTTTGGATAACAAATTATAGAAGCATCCCACATATAGCCCACACACATTAAATGTGACAATTTGGCCATATCTAATTAGGCCAGTGATAAGGTAGCCTTGGCCATCATCATCATCGTAAATGGAAAGCACACACCTTGATGTTGCCATTGATTGGATACCTTTCTGGTGAAGTCTCACTTTCCTCATCTGTAAAATAAAGACAAAACAGGTATGGGTTTCACTGATCTCAAAAGTTTATTTCATTGGTATATCAGAATTGGATTTTTTACATAGTTCAACCATTTTTCATTATGATCAAATTATGTAGGTCATGGTTATTTTAAGGCTCAGAACAAAAATGTCCAGAAAAGTGCTTTCTAAATCATGTGACAGTGGGTAAATGACAAGCATTGTTACTATGGAAGAAGACTTCCCGGCACTTGCTTTCTTTTGGAAAGAAAAAAATTAAACAGTTCTCTTAATTTCTATAAGAGTTGGGTTCATGGAAAGAAATCTTCCACCAACCCAGGGATGTGTGCAAGGTCTGTGGGAACCATGAGGACAGAAGTATTTGCTTTACAGGAATCAGGATCTGAGCAAGGTGTCTTGTATGCTCACAGGAAATCCAAGCCCACAGTAATTTCAGGTGACAGCCAATTCATGGGAGGCTCTGAGGGCCTTAATTAAAAGGTCATTTTTTTCTAAAGTAAAATTATTCAACTCAGATAAGTATTCATGAGCTGTTCAAACTGACTGATGCATGCACTTCTGCCTCTAAGGAATGAGTAACAAAAGATATTCATTAGGCAAAGGTAACTACACCCAATAAATATCCCAGACCACTCTTCCCATGCCCACCTCCACCTCTTGTATAGAATCTATCTTTAAAGGAAAAATGTCTAGAGATAAGACTCAGAGCTTTGGATCCACCTGTTTTTTGGAAAAATTTTCTAAGTACCTTAGTTATACTGCATCCTTTCTCTTTCCCTACCTAGAATGAATTATTCATTGCCTAATCCACAAATTCCACCCCTCTTAGATGGCAGGTCAGCATGCTTTTTCTTAAAGGGCCAGGTACCAAATACAGGCTTTGTAGGCCATATGATCTCTGTTGCAACTACTCAGTTCTATGGTTGTAGTGCAAGAGTTGCCATAGACAACATGTAAACAAATCAGTGGGGCTGTATTCCCTCATAATAGTATTTATGGACACAGGAACTTGAATTTCATATTGTTTTTACTGGCCATAAAATATTCTTCTTTGAATTTTCTTTCAACCATTTAAATATGTGAAAACCATTCTTAGCTTATGGGTCATACAAAAATGGTAGCAGGCCAACATACTTTGCCAACTCCTCCTCTGTACTGTGAGCAACTTGAGAGCAGGGCTGAATGATAATCATGTCACTATCTCTTAAGGCTGGGCTTCAGTGCCTGACATCCAGGAGAGATCCAAAACTGTGGAGGAAGAAGTGAGAGACAAAGGCCATGGAAAGCACAGCAGATGAATCCATCACACACAACAAAAAAGTCCTTTGTGTGGTTCAGAGTGGGTACCAGAAGGGAGAATGTATGGTAGTAGGGTTATTCTTCTCCCCTGATATTTTTTACATCAAATATGTAGGAAATTTTCCACACCAGTTCTCGGTATCCAGCAATTCAATTCAATTCTGACACTATATAGCTGAAGTTAGCATCAAATCCCACAAGTTAAAGGGCTCAGTCCCACAAGAATGGCCCCACTTCGGATACCAATCGCAAGTCCCAGGCCCCCTATGCTTCTGACAACCAAGTGTAAACTGGGAGTTTCCAAATTTGCTAATTCATGTTGGATCATTTGCTAGAATGCCTTACAAAATTCAGGAAAGGACTCTAGTTACACTTATCAGTTTATAATAAAGAATACAAATGAACAGCCAGATGAAGAGGTACATAAGGTGAGGTCTGGAAGGGCCCCAAGTATGGGAGCTTTTGTCACCATGAAGTTGGAGTGTGCCCCTCTCCCAGCATGTGTGTGTGTTCACGAACTCAGAAGCTCCCCAACCCCATCATTTGGTTTTTATGGAGGTGCCATTATATAGGTTCAGTTGATTAAATCATTGGCCATTGGTGATTGATCCAATCTTCATCCCTTTTACCCTCCCTATTGGTTGGGCTGGGGGAGGTTTGAAAGTCCCAAGCTTCTAATTAAGGCTTGGTCTTTTTGGTGACAAGCCTTCTAGGGTCCCACTAAGAATCACTGCATTAGAACAAAGGTGATTCTATCACCCATATTATTCAGGAAATTTCAAGGGCTTTAAGAACCTTGTACCAGGAATCAGGAACAAAGACCAAATATCTTTCTAATTATGTTTTAAATATCTAATAACATCACTTTGGAGTCAGAAAGACACCTGTGTTTGCATTCCAGCTCCACCATTTCCTGGTTTGGCCCTGGGCAAATAACTGCACATCAGAGTCCATTTTCTGCAGTAACAGAAGAAAACAACTAATGGTGGCTTGAAACTTATCAAGAAACATGGGCATAGGGGTTTCAAGCCTGGTTCAGTCGCTCAACATTGTCACTGAGATCACAGATCACACCCTCTTTCTTTCTCCTACTCATTGGCTTTTTATCTCTGTTTGTTATCGGTGGTTGCCAATGGCTGTCAGAACTGTAAGCATCACATCCACCATGTTCAAGCCAGGAAGAAGGAACAGAGTAAGTACCAGCTGTCTCCTCTTATGCTATCCCTTTATCAGGAAACCAATGACCTACCTAGAACTCTCGAGACTGATGTCATTTATATTCTCATTGTCCAGACCTGGGTTCCATGGCCACCCTTGTTGTAAGGGAGGTCAGTCTTTATGGTGGTTAGCAAGGGAGGAGGGAATTGGGAACACGGTGGAGGGGGGAGGGGCCTTAACGGTGTCTGTCTCACAGATGTGAGATGTGAGAAGTGAGGCAATGTGGCTAAAGCATTGCACATAAGCACTCGGTCAATGGAAGCTGCTATTATCAATAGGACTAACCTAAATATTTTCAAAATCCTAAAACATTATCTCTACACTGCCAATAAAAAAACTGCAATTTCTCAGATGAAGTTAGAAAGTCTCACACGTTCATTTCATAACGCCAATAATTACATACATTAAAAGTGAATGAAGATTGAAATAGAAGAGAGAGAGAGAGAGAGGGAGAGAGAGAGGCTGTGTGAGAGAGAGATATTCAGTTATTGATGTATAGCATTCCATATTACGTAGAGCTACATACACACACAGACACACACACGCGCATGCACGCGCATGCATGCATTAAGAATAAATGAGTAAAGCCAGGTGTTGATAGATAGGCTCTGCATTCTAAATGTTAAATTAGATAACTCAGGCACTTTTCTCAGGCTCAAATCCTGAGTCATCCTTCTCCCTTTGTCCTTTCCTTTCCCTAGTCAGTCAGAAAGTTCTGTAGATTTTGCACTGCAACATGCCTTCTATTTGTCCTCTCTTTTCCATTGCCAAAGTGCAACCTTTATCACCTCTTGTTCAGACAATTGCAGTAGACTCCCTAAGTATTCCCCTGTCTCCAATCATTCTGCCCCCTACCAAAGCAATCCATTCTCAATTTCTTGTCAGTTATCTTCTTAAAGCAAAATTCTGACCATGCCACTTCCTGGCTTGAAAACCTTTAATGGTTCCCGATTGCCTACAAAGTCCCAATGCTTCAAATACTATTCAAGGATGTCCCTACCTGCCCCCAAACTCCCTTTCTCACCTCATTTCCTTACACACTCACAGTCCAGCTTACTTAGAAACTATTCCTTATTCTCTCAGCAAATGCCTCCCCTATGCTTCCTGCATTTATCTTATTTCACACTGATCCCTCTTTGCTCTTCTAGATCCTACCTTGAGGGATGATGGTAGCTTCCACTTTAGCCTACACTGAAACTCTGTCTCATGGAAGATTACAGAGCACCCAGAATTTTATAGACCATAATTTGTGCAAAATTATCTGATTAAATCAATAACGCTGTCAATAATTCCTTCCGATGTTTCTCTAGTCCTAGGACATTTAAATGTGCTGATGACTGACAATTTAAAATTGAAACATTCCATCAAATGAGCTGGGAAGGAGACAGTTGATTCAGGACAGCAGGCTCAGGATCACGACTGGACAAGGAAGAGACCTGCTTGCAGCTTGGCTTGGTTCTCTCCCTCCCTCTAAATAGAGATGTGAAATGAGCTTTCACATAGCAGAGAGGCATGTACTCCATGCTGCCCCAAAGTGGGAAGGAGGCTATTATTGTTGGTTCCAGGCACTATACTGGTGTGCCATTTTGCTGCCCAGTTAACCATTTTGCAGACATCTCTTGAGGTAGGCATTCTTATTATCTCTATTTTCTATCAGAAATGAGAGATCCAGAAGTGAGCAAATTCTTTTTTTTTTTTTTTGGGTGGGGGGTGGCTTTGTGACCCTCACCCTCTCCCTCTCCCTCTCTCTCTCTATATATGTGTGTGTGTGTGTGTGTATATATGTGTGTGTGTGTGTGTGTATATGTATGTATATATATATACATACATATATATATGTGTATGTATATGTATATAAAATAGCACTTTAGGTTCTGGGGTATATGTGAAGAACATGCAGGATTGTTGCATAGGTACATACATGGCAATGTGGTTAGCTGCCTCCATCCCCATCACCTATATCTGGCATTTCTCCCCATGTTATCCATCCCCAACTCCCTACCCCCCACTGTCCCTCCTCTAGTCCCCCTCAACAGACCCTAGCGTGTGATGCTCCCCTCCCTGTGTCCATGTATTCTCATTGTTCAACACCCACCTATGAGTGAGAACATGTGGTGTTTGATTTTCTGCTCTTGCGTCAGTTTGCTGAGAATGATGGTTTCCAGGTTTATCCATGTCCCTACAAAGGACACGAATTCATCGTTTTTTATGGCTGCATAGTATACCATGGTGTATATTTGCCATGTTTTCCCTGTCCAGTCTATCATCGATGGGCATTTGGGTTGGTTCTAGGTCTTTGCTATTGTAAACAGTGCCATAATGAACATACGTGTGCTTGTGTCTTTATAATAGAACAATTTATAATCCTTTGGATATATACCCAGTAATGGGATTGCTGGGTCAAATGGAATTTCTATTTCTAGGTCCTTGAGGAATAGCCACACGGTCTTCCACAATGGTTGAACTAATTTACACTCCCACCAACAGTGT